TTTTTTTTTTTTTTCTTACTGGACCTACTCTAGCCTCATCGTAAGCATTAATAAATAAATCACTGTTTTCAAGCTCTGGTTGAATTACGCCTGTTACACATCAAGATAAAAGAATCGGGTATGAAAACCAAACACCTTGGGTCCCCTCCCGGTCTCATCAGGATCTTCCATACGCTGGGACATTCGGCTCTGTATTTAGCTCCCTCTCCTGGATTCTAAACCTAACTTGGTTGCTTTCCTGGTGACCCTGGGCCAAAAGGGTTACCTTCCTCAGGCCTCAGTTTACTCACCTAGAAAATGGAGAGCCAGTTTCTCCCCTGCCGACCTCACAGAGTGGCTCTGGGGAGCCAAGAGGGGCATGAATACTGGTGCTATTTGGAAAGGAAAGGGACTATCCAGGGGTCCCCTTGGAGGGCTGCTCTGATACCCCCAGAACTGATCAGTGCTCCTGTCTCCTGCCTTTGGTCTCCTGCGGTCCTGGAGAGACGGGACCTTGCTGGTTCCCAAGCCCTGACCTCCATCCTGGGCTGCGTGACCTCCCCAGACCCCCATCCCGAAGCCCCACACGGAGGGTTACCATAGAGCTCTTGAATGCCCTTGATGTCGTCGTGGGACAGGCGGAAGTTCTTGGTGTAGGTATAAATGGGTGCCATCAGGGCCCCAGGGTCCTGAGAGTGCTCCAGCCCCATTGCATGGCCAAACTCATGGGCTGCAACCAGGAACAAGCTGTACCCTAAGGGCCGCAGGAGGGGAGGGGGGCAGAGAGACAAGGGGAGAGAGACAAGGGAGGATGAGGGTTCTGAGGATATCCCCATGGTAGGGCCGAGAGCCTTGCAAATGGCACATACTGATTTTTCCTTCTCCTGAATACTCTGGGACTGAGATACTATGCCCATTGCTTCCAAGTCAGGTCAGCCAAAGTCCCTTTGTCCCTTCCCATGGTGGGCGGCTGCTGTGTGCTATAAAGAACAAACAGCAGCTGCAAATCCTCTACTTGGGGTCCCATTTGATAAAAAAAACAAAACAAAACAAAAAACTTGCACTATAGAGTCTCCGAAGAGGAAGAAGACTGGGCTCACCCTTCCTGCCCCAGGGGAAGTAATGACAACCATTCCCACTTGGAGTGATTGCCCAGGCTTAGCCACAGACAGAGGGCAGGCTGTAGGATGAGGGGGGTCTCCCCAAAGGATAGGTTCAGTTCCTAAGACTGAGCTCCTGTGACTGTGACCTTATATGGAAATAGCATCTTTGCAGATAAATTAAGATGTAAGTTAAAAGGAGGTCACACTGGAGCAGGGTGGGCCCTTAATCCAGTGTGACCCGTGTCCTTATAAGAGGAGAAGATACATAGAAGGCCACGTAAAAACAGAGGCAGAGACTGGGGCCACGCAGCCTTCAGAGGGAAGGTGGCCGTACCAATGCCTTGATTTTAGACTTGTAGAGAATACATTTCTGTTGTTTTAGGACACCCAGTTTGTGGCACTTTGTTATGACAGTCCTAGGGAACGCAAGTGTGCCACAACAGCTCTGGGGTCTTAAGCCATTCCAGCAGATGGAGAATCCCACCTTTACGTAGAAGCTGGAGCAGGGCAGGTAGTATCAGGATATGTCCTACAGTGGCATTGGCAGGGGTTAAGAAAACGTCTTTCGGCCAGTCTCTGTCGGTCAGCCATTACCCAAATACCACCCCATTGTGAGTAAAAAAGAAGAAAAGTAACATAAAAAGAGGCTGATCTAATTCTGGCCAGCCCCGGACCAGACCTCTCACCGGCCGTCTGGCGCCATCAGGGAGCTTTAAGCCCAATCCACTGGGCCCTGCAGACTAGAGTGGGCATAGTGCCCCCAAACACCTTGCTCACTGCACTGACCACATAGTAAGGTCATGGCCTATCTCCTGGTCATGCTCTTGCCCCAGCCTGTGAGCCCTGGGGGGCAGCACTGTCAAGGTCCCCCCACCCATTCACAACTTGGCAAAGGAGGGTGCCAATGGGACACGGAGGGCTCTGGGGACTCTCTTGTGCTACCTGGAGGGTGGTGTTGGAGAACGGATGACACTCCTCCTGTTTTTCCTCTCTTTTCCTGCCCACCCAGCTCCTTGCAGGCAGCTCCCCACTGGAGGGGAACGCCTTGCAGGGGAATCATTCTCTGGAACAGGGTACCCTGCGCTCGGCACTGGGATGTTTTGCACAGCCACAGCCCCGCCTCGTGGGGAGAAGAGCGCCGTCTCCACGGATGGGCGGGGCCTCAGCCAAAGCAGTGTGTCTGCCAGCACAGGTGGGTGTCTGGGGGTGATGTCTATGCCAGAGGTGGGTGGGGGCCCAGGAAGGTTTCCAGTGCAGGGGCGGGGCAGCATCTGGTGTTTCTGCCCAACGGGCAGAGCGCTGTACCTTGGTCAGGGCAGAAGCCCCACTTGCGGTCATCGTCATAGTTGGCTGTGGTCGCACACCACATCTTCCCATCGCTGCGGCCCGCGCTCGTACAGCTCTCGTGCTTGTTGCCCAAGAAGGTGAAGGGGAAGACACAGGGGGCACCTTCTGAGTTCCCGCCAACAGTGGACATGGCTGTGGAGCGAGGGACATGGGTCAGGGGGCAGCAAGGTATCTGAGGCCACCACCAGGGAACCACACGATGTGGACATTAACAAATCACGCTTATGGAGCACCCGCTTCAGCCCTGGGCACTGGTGCAAGCACGTCTCTATAACCCTGTGCAGTAGGGACCGGAAGTCACCCCCATTTCGTGGATGGGAAACTGGAGCTCAGAGAAATTAAGAAACTTGCCTGAGCAGATACTGCTGGAAGCGTCAAACCCACGCAGCCAGATTCCAGAGCTTTATTAGCCTCCCGTGGATGAGGCTGGAGGGGACCAGAGGCAAAGGGTGCTGGGCACAGCCAACGGGGCCAGCATACTTAGACAGTGAGCTCCATCACGCGGGCTCCTGTGGAAGACCTACCTGTGTCTCCTGCAGAAGGCAGGTGCTCAGTGAAAATCAGGAAGGAAGGGAGGGAGGAAGAGAGGGAGGGAGGGAGGGAGGAAGGGAGTCCTTACAGAAAAACAGAAGCCAAAAGACAGAGACACAGACTAGAGCAAAGAAAGGCAGGGAAGACATACTTCAAGATGAGACAGAGAGAGAGAGAGAGAGAGAGAGAGAAACGATTACAAGGAAGCTGAGAGTGGATGGGCCATTCACAGAGGGTCCTGAGCTGGCCTGACATTAGGGATCACCATTTCGGCTGAACTGGCTATTGTTCTGATCAGCATCTGTTCGGATTTTGGTGCTCATGCTGTACCAGCTGCTAAGGACTCTGATGAGTTGCCCCGGACAGGGGGAGGGGGCTCTGGTAGCTTTTCTACCAGAGGACAGACTTTTCCATCAGAGGTGGAGACACCCACCGGTCTCGGGGCAGAAGCCATACTTCTTGTCTCGGTCGTAGTCTTCCGTGGTCCCGCACCAGCGGTAGCCGTCGGTGCGGCCCTCGGTGGTGCAGCTGTCGTAGGATGTTCCCTGGAAGCGGAATGGGAACTTGCAGGGCTGTCCGTCAGCATTGCCACCCATGGTGAACAGGGCTGGGGGTGAGGGAGAGACGGAGAGAGCATGAATGTGAGAGGCCACCCACCGCCCAACCCGGAATGAGCTCAGCACCTGCGTGGGCGCACGGCTGGCTGGGGGCCAACCTGCCAATTCACACCAGGGAAGATACAGCATTGTTAAGATGTTAAAACCCGTCTATGCTGGTAGCTGAACTGCTGCTCCTCTGGTCCCCTGGAGGGTACTCCTGCCTCCCCAGCCACCTCGATCCCTCCCCTGGGACCTTATGGGCCACCCCTCCTCCCACCAATGAAATGGTTAAAACCTGGCACACAGCATGGGGCCTCCAGAGCCCTGCCCCTGACCCAACCCCAAGGTGACTGTCCACTCTGCCTGGTCTGTGCCCAAGCCACGCAGATTGCTAAAAATATCATCCATGGTGGTCGGCAGGACCACAAATCTTTGCATTCGAGAGAAAGGAAAACTGAGGTTCTGAGAAGGCTGGTTCTGGAACTGCTCATGGTCATCTCTCTCTTGCTCACACTCTTTGCCACACACACACAGAGAGAGAGAGAGAGAGAGAGAGAGAGAGAGAGAGAAAGCTTCACCTCCCTTTCAACCCCAGGCACTTTCCTGGACGGCCCTCCTGTGGTCTCTGTAGGAGAGAGAGGAGGAAAGGAGGGCGAGAATGGAAGAGAGGTGGAGTCTCCAGACACCTTCTAATATGCACTCCGAGCTCCCACTCTGACCTCCCCAAGACAGAGGTTATGCCTGGGGAATTTGGGGAGAGTGGGAGTCAAGAGTCTGGGCTTGTCTGTCTTGGGTTTTCCCCCTGCTCCCCCATGCCTTCATCCACCCCCAAAGCTACAAAATGGTGTATCTCTGAAATTGCCAACTAGCAAAACCACAAGTGCGTAACAAGGACCATCTGTGCACAACGGCGCCAGAGGTGACCTCATCAGCCCTCATTAACTCCACCATGGCCAAAATGGGGGCCAGGGACCACAGGATCAGGGTCCCAAATCCTCACTACTCCCCTCTCCCCAACCAAGAGACCTTCCCCCCACAATGCCAGAAACAAGGAGACCAAGGGAAGAGCCAAAACTGAAGCCAGACGCCTCGGTGGCCTCAGAGAGGGAAAGGCAACGTGTTAACCTTGAGGGAGGCCAGCCTCTGTCTCTGGTCTCCCAACAGCTGCATTTCTACCACCCAGGAAGCCCCCATCCCCTTTCAGATCCTGCCCCCAACAAGGATGAAGAAAAGCAATCATTGACTCAGCAGTCAGGAGGGGCTGAGTAACCAGAACCTCTATCCCAAGACCGAACACGTGCATGTTGTATGTACTTGAATCTGGCTAAACACCAAGTAAATGGCTAATGTCCGATGCAGGGAAAAACCAAACTTATGAATTACAGCTGTTTCCACTTTCATGATCAAGGCATTCTCTTCTAATCACAGGGACTGACACATGGCAAGGTTATCTCTGCTCAACTCCCTACTGGGAAATGCCAGAGACATAAAATATCTTTGTTTAAAAATTTGACTTATTAATGGTCGATGACTTGAACTCTTACTTAATACAAACTGTCGCGTGAGCTTTGAGATGTATACGCACTGTTTTTGTGATTTCTGGTTATGAAGTGTGTGTCATCGTGAAGGATCTATTAAAAAAGGATTGGGTGTGTTATGTCAATACCCTTACCCCTTAAGGAAACTCCTTGCTCTATATGGCTTCAAAATATCTAAACATTTTGTCACAAGCATCAGCAAAAACACAAAGATACTGAGTCAAGCCTAATGCCTTTGCTGAGACACAGAGAATCAGACACAAGAAAGGGAAGACAGAGACCCCGAGAGGCACATGGAACAGTCCCACACCCAGACGTGTGCACGCAGCTGTGCACACGCACGCGCGCGCGCACACACACACACTGGAAGAGTCAGCATCAGAACCGGAAACGATGGCTGAAATTCCCAGGGCTGGTGTCCCCAAGCCAGATTGGGTACCGGCCTCGGTGTCTGAGTCTCGCCTCTGAATCCCACTGCTAGGCTTCCGA